AACTTACATTTGCTAGAGACACGAAAGGGGGAAGATGACCATAACAGAAAAGAAAAACCACAAGCACATTCCAGAAGAAACTAGTTGTGAAGACATTATTCCCAAATTTCACCATTCCTTTGTCAGCACATTCCTATGAAACTACTGGTAATATGTGGGTCTCCCCATCCCACACTTGTGGCAGATTCACAGAAGAGTGCTAGAAGGTCATTAACTATTATTCCATTAGCTCATATGATAAGACTGCAGCAGAAAATCTCAACCCTGCTGACAAATCTTGTAAGGAGTCAATATGATTCCATGTATATTCCTAATTTTTCAAAATAAAGCTAAATTTATTTCCAAATTTTATGTAAAAAATAAAATCCTTGCATTAAATGAACAGTAGGATTGCAGAAGCGAGCTCTTAAAAGTTGGGCAGTGGCAAGTTGGGCAACCATTTTAAGGTAGACAAAACAGCTGTTAGTCTAGGGTCAAGTAGAAGATAAATAGTCTATACGATGCAAATCTCCCCTATCTGTCTACCTACCTACCTAAATAGCACAAGCTTTTGAGAGCTGAAGCTAAACTTCATCAGATGCTGGTTCATATTCAAAAATAAGGTTGCCAATATCATCATCTCTCTGACCCCTTGTGCATAAGTATTATGGTAGTCTAGTCAATCAATTTTGTCCCTCCTCAAATTGCTTAAGTATACTCTTAAATCTTTAGTATAACCTTACTTCTGGCATTTTCTAACTTTTGACTGCTTTCACAAACATGTATTTTTGTTAACGTTATACTAGAAATTACTATTTTAAGTGATACAAATTAGTGGAAAGTTGTTCTACTTGGCCAAGTTAGTAAAATGAGTCTGTCTTTTCAGACTGGTGGAGGCATATTTAAAAGTGTTTTAAATTTGAAGGCATTCCCAACTGTCAGTTTTCCAAAATAAACCCAGTATTCTTACATTTAGAACACAATTAATCAGCAGAGTCAGACTTTTTTTTCACTGGAACTGAAAAACAAATTAATTTCTAAACTATTTCTACACCAGTTAATTATCATTGGTGCAGCTTCATTAGGCAGCTGATGTACCTATATAAGCTACTCATTAAGGCATGTAAATTTAAATGCATGAGTCACATAGCTCGAAGACACCGTTGCTAGTTAAACTATGAATTATTACTAAAACATTTAGAGATTATCCCCTTTCTGTTTACAGTGAGAAAACAGTCATTCCTTGTAAAAGTATCCTATTTTTGAATTAACAAAAATGTAGTATGCCACTTATAATCTTAGTGATTTCTATTTGATCCTTTGATATTAATGCAAAGACAGCATAGCTTGTCCTGCTTAATAAATTCCCCTGAATGAAACTGGGGCACTTTCAACTCTGCTAGTGATTATTGCTGTGTTCCATCCATGTACAGATACAAAGAAAACTTTCTTCAGCATTGGTTTTTTCAACCTTATATTGTGTTCCACTGATAAACTACACCCTCTCCCCCAAACAGGTGGGAAAAAAGGAAGTTCATTAACATCTTGATTTTTTTCCTTTCCCCCTCCAACCAGCTCATATGTGTAATAGTTGTCACCTGTTCTAACAGCTCTCCAGGTGGCATCTTTAGACAGACATTCTGACTTTTTATTTAAAAGACAGAAGATGGTGGTAAATGATAAGACAGATTCCCAGGCCTGTTTCTTTCTGTGACAAAAGAGGATGTAGCTAGAAAGATTTCTCCTGGAGAAATCCACTCACAGTACCTGCAACTACAATTGAAGGAGAGAAAGCATATACCTGCTGGGACACCACTGAAGGATTAGTTTACTTTGCCAGCAGTTCTGTTTTGGAAGCAAAGCTGATTAGCTACATCTCCAAGCACTATTTGGATACAACTGCAGAAACTTAGCTTATACAAAAGAAAACAGTTTTCAAAACTATCCTAAATCATGAGATCACTATTACTGGAATTCACAATTTATAACTAATTTGAAGAGTAAAACTGTTGAAGGATGTTAGAACTAACATACACCCCAAGCAATAGGAAAAAACAAGCATTTCACACAGCATTAAGTAATATCTACTTGGATGATACATGTACAAGCCAGCAATGATTCTGAAAGGAAAAACATGAATATTATGATTCTTTCTACAAATGTACAATACATTTTTGGACTTGTTGCACAGAAATAGAGATAGTTAACTATTATTTTGCCATCACACCTTTCACTTCAGAGAAATACCATACATAACCATGTCAGGCCAAATATCCAATGCAAGATTCTAAGATACAGCCTTAGTTCTACCAGCATTAGTTTATAGATATTCAGCTTATTTTCCTCACAATAAAACTTAGTCAGCTAATGATTCATTTTAGGTGATTATCTAAGAGGAAATCTCATAGGAAGTTATTCCAAAACAACTCAGAGATGAAAGTCTTATGCATGAATATATGCTCAGAGAATGTATGCGTGTGCCCACACCCATGTGGGGGCAGTGGGAGGAGCCATCTACAATTGCAGCCGAAACTAAGTAAGACAATAAAGGATAAATTCAAAGTTTATTCCACATGTGGTACAGTTTGTCAACATGTTAGGAAAGTATCAAAATTTGTATTATTAACATATGGCAAGAGTTATTTTCTTACAATACATTAATGACAAGTTTTTCCAATTACAATAATTTAAGCTGCAGACAGAGCAATTGCATTAAACCTTAATTCTTCTGGATCTCGTTCCATGAACTTCTTGCAAACTTCTACTGCATCCTATTTAAAAAATAAACAAACAATGTGAAATTATGCTATTTCTCATTGTATGAAAACAGGACAATTGGCACCTCATTCATTTTATACAACCTATGTCCAAATAGGATTCTTCCATTTTCTACACAAACCTTATCAGTGTATCAAATTGATTTGGGAATAATTTCTGTTCTAATTTCATGCAAGACGCTATTACCCGTTCCCATGTAAATGAATTCAGAGAATAGATAGCGTACTAGTTAACTTTATAATTATTAAATTTATGTTATTGTACACAGTATTCTAGATGAACTTCTACAGAACTATCCATTTTTATTAACACTACTGTAATTAGAAACTTACATTTTGTCTATTAATATAATTCAGAAATCTAAACAATATTACCAGCTGTGTTTATTGCACAAATGGAGGATTTTAAATAACTCTTGCATTTTGGCCTAGGGCACAATACAGCACTTGATATTTACTACAAAACTTGAACGAAGAATGTGAACAAGTTAGCAGTATTTTCTTTCCCCTTTATCAGGCACAGATTTCATGTTGTTTAATATCGTCAATACAGTTACTTCTTAAAGACAGAGGTTGCATCTCTCCAGCCTTTTCCTTCCCTAAAACTAACCTAGACTGACCAACATAAAGGTCAGACCCCAATGCATGACCCTACCTCTCCCCCTCCCAGACAATACCTTCCTATTGGGACGGCAGGGGGCAGAGGATGGAGGACTTTATTTTCCAGGTTAAATGTATTCTATTTGGATTCCCTTTTCAAATAAAACAGCTTCTGACAGAGGCATCCATAAGCTAACATGATGAAGAGAAAAAGAAACAGCCACATGAAATAAAAACAGGTGTTTTTGGTGATGGTGAGAAGGGCAAAAGCAGAAAGTGCTGGAAGAGTAACCATGGTCCAGCATAGCAATTAACTATAAAAGAAATGAGAGAAAGGAGGGAAGAATATTAAAAGTTTGTTCAAAAGTTCTCAAAGACCAATAATTTCACAACTCCCCATTCCTTGCACATAGCCTGCAAGCAACAATGGTTTAGGAAAATATCAATAAGGGATAAAAAAGCAGCTCGAGCTGCTGGCGTAATAGTCATTTAGTGTTCCTGGTCAAGCAACCATAGGAAGATGTTCTCTCATACAGAGCAGCATTTGTATGGGAGTTCATGAACACCCATCTCAGTTCTGAGTACAGGTTGTTTTCTCTGCCTCCCTTCATATGATCATACACAAGAAGTAGATAATGATCTAAATGCACTAAACTTATGCAGGGCGGGTTGTATTCATACCTCTAAAAAGTTGTCATCACTTGTCTGCCCATGGTTTATTGGAAATGGTTTGCGTCCATCTGTTGAAACATAAGAGATTACATGAGATTGCAAACTGAAGATTGAAAAGCTTGTCATTTTTTCCAGAACATACACTTGGAACAGTTAAAATAATCACTTCTCAGTAGGTATATGTTAACACGATTAGTTTGTTTAGATTAGATGGTAATGCACCTTAATACCATTCCTTGGCTTCAACAGAAATACAGTATTGCAAACAATTAGTAAGTTGACAAAGCGCGCACACACACACACACACACACACACACACACACACACACACACCTGAAAAATGTAGATGATATCCAAGGCACTTAGTGAGAGAGAACAAGAGATCCGAAATTATCTGTAACAAGTTAAATTAGTATTCCTCTAGGAGCCCTGAAGAGAGGATTAGACCCACCAATTCTGAAGGGATCAAAGGCAAAATAACTTAAATATTACCCTCAATTAAAAGATACAAAAGTCACATGACATGATAAAAGTAATACTAACAATTTAACTTAGACAAGTGTGCAATACTAACCTAGCCCTATATCAGAAATGATCTAAAAAGGCAAGTATAGATAAAGAACAGTTTAATTTTTCACTGACAACATAATAATACCCTTTACATTTAGTACTTCTCAAATATTTTTACTTGTTACTTTATAAATGTATCAACTTACTTTTGAAGAACTTCGATGTTGAAACATATGCCAAAACATGAAATTTTCTCTAATTTCTGCCAGGGGCCAACTGATCTTGCCAGGCCAAATTCTCTTTTAAGTATTAATATACCATAATTTCACTAAGCTTGGCAGCACTTCTAAACTACAACTGACCTAAAAATCCCTAAAATTACACTCTTCTGAAATGTATTATTAAAACCGTTATTCTTACTTTAATGACCAACTTCTTTTATAT